TTTTTAGTTTTTAAAATAAATACTCTTGATCTATTAAAATAATATATTCTTGATCTATTAAAACAAAAGTTATGTAAATACTAATAATTTGGATTTAAAACTAACCAAAATATAAAAACAGCCGTAAGAATACGAAAATGCATGTTTTTTTAATCGGCTGGATTTCAATGTCCGCAACTGTATATTGAAAATACAAATGTCATTTGACTTATGGCATTTGAATATGTGGATGCCACAACTAACAAATTATATTTATTGATCAATATTATTGAAGATTAAACGAAGTTTTAACTTAAATCTACTGCCTTTCGAGATTTAATTTTATATGACAAATCTCGAAAGATTTAACGTTAAATCTCGTCAGAGGGCTAAATCTTCATTAAATCTCGCAATGGAGACATAGCCTTATTATATGTAAAGATGTAGATATAGATTTCATTTATTTTATCAATTTAATACAATAAAATTTTTCAAACAGGTGGCATCCCTCCCTAAAAGTATTTTCGGCAATAGAATTTCGTAAGCCCCTTCAGTTTGATACCCATATTGCAATATTCAATTTATCTTATAAATTAAATTAAATGTAAATTTTCAAACAGGTGGCAACTCTAAAAAAAATAAAATAATATTTGTGGGTGTAAGCCTTCTTCAGCCTCTTTCTTTTGACGTCCATATTGCAAAATTAATTGTTTCTTATCAATTCACTTATACTCCAATTTTCAAACAGGTGGCAACTCTCTAATTTTTTTCTTTCTATATTTTAAGTTAGACCTCTAGCAATACATCGGTGAAAACTGCATTCAAATCCATGCATTCGTTTTCGAGTGATGCGCGAACAAACATACATACAGACAGACAGACAAAAATTCTAAAAATGGTTGATTTGGCTTCTAGTGCTCTAATAAAGACCCCCCACATTAATTTTTCTTTAATATCCATAATGTACAGACATCGACCTGTTACAATTTTATTATATGTATAGATTAATATTTTCTTATGAATATGGAGCTTGTTATACATATAACACCGCGCGATAGTAAATTTTAAACACAAATATCAATATATTCGCGAAACCATGCGCCAAATATTGTAGATTGCGTTTTTAGTTTCAAATGTTTAGTTCAAAAATGATTTAAAAAGTTCAGAGAATGAGCTTAGAGAAGAAGTATGGGTATAAAATTAATGAGGAAATCCTGTAGAATTTAAACAGATTAAAGCCTCTGGTGCAGAAGGGCTAGTAAATATTGAAAATGTCATTTAAAAACTTTATCATTGAAATTTCGCAGTATTTGTTTTTGAAAAAATTATATGTTAAGGGCTTATATAAACTTGATAGCACCCTCGAACTTCGTTCTTCTAGCTTTGTCAGCTTAAAAATTACCTATTCGTCCTTGTGAATCCAAAAATTAAAATTTTTTAAATTCTAAAGAAATTTCCTATTGCATTTGTTACCCGAATTTGTATTCTACATTGCATTGCATTTTTTTAATGATTTTTGGAATTAATCATATCTTTGAAATTACAAGGTCCTTCAAAATAAATCCTGCGGTCAGAAAAAAAATAAAAACGCCACTTTAAATAAAAAAGTAGGTTTCAAACCCATTTATTTATTATTTATTTCATGGTAGGAGAGCTTTTCAAACAATATAGAAGCAATTTTTTCGATTCAAGTTGTTGAAAAGTAATGAATATCTAAATCCCGGGACTAATCCAGGGATTCCGGGATTGTGACAACGCCATCCCGAAAATCGCGGGATCGGAAAAAGCCAAAAATAACATCCCTACCACGCATGCACAAGAACACCGTAATATGTAATATAGGGGAAACATGATACATACATAGGGCTACGCAAAGCAGTATAAAGCAAACAATCATTGTTCCAAGTTATTATAAGTAATTTGTAGAATTCACAAATAAACATATCAAAATCGATAGGTATACACATTTCGTATCTATCTCAACCCAACGTTAACATAGTATTTTAACACCAGCACTTCACGGTGCTATATTTAATTTCTACGTAAGTTAATGGCACGGCTTACTACGTAAGCACCTTAATACCAAACATACATATATGGTCAGCAATCAAACCGTGGGTCGTGCTTTACCTCGAAGCGCGTTTACGTCGTCTCGCTTACGAAACTCCTAGGAAAGCTCACACAAAACTCAATATCCAACAATCCGTATCTATACCATCTTTATAGCGTCTACATCGCTCCGCAAATTTCATTTTGTGAAATCGCACTCACCAAAGTCTTTTCTCAAAAATCGCGTTCACGTCGTACCGCTTACGTAACGCGGAGAAAAGGTCAATATTTCAAATAACTCAATTGTCTCTTCTTTATTAAAATCGCGTTTTACGTCATCTCGCTTACGTAACGCATAAAGAAATGTTGGAAAAGGGTTAATATTTTGATATAGCAACCGTTCTATTTTTTAACCAAAAACACGTCGTATCGATTACGTCACGCATAGCGAGGTTATATCAAGTTCTTTAATTTATAGCGAACTTTCGAGCGCTACTCCGTAGCTTTGCCTTGGTTCCAATCTTAATTAAAAGCTGTTTAGCCTCCACCATGTCGCTTGATCAGACATTAACTGCAAAGCAGAGACTGAAAATACCCTGCAAAAATTGCGACTACTACGTGAATGCATGTAAAGAATACTCCCTAAGGACCAAAGAGTACTCCAAAATTAACCACAATTCATATAAAAAATGTGGTCCAATTAACATTGCAATGTCCTAGGGCAGGACCATATACTCCACCTCTGCATTACATCAGAGTAGCACAAAACTACTCCAACATATTAACAATGGCATTGTTGTTATATTTTTTCGTTTGTACACGCTTTTTTCTTCATTTCACAGATGCTTTTTCGAAATTAATAAACACCAAAAAGAAAAATTAAAAATTACATGTTGTCTCTGACGGCATTCGAACCGGAACAAGCTGGGAGCTAACAACTAACAGCGAGCATCTCTACACGTTCAGCTACAGCCAGACATGCAAATGTTAGTCTGTTCCTTTGAACTTTGGACTAAAACCTGTGGAACTGTCAAACTACAATTTTACTCTCTCAAGTGAGAGTAAAAGGAGAACAGATGCAGAAGGGCACGGGAACGCAAAAAGCACTATTTCCTGTAAAAACGTCAGTCGGTTTGTTTACATGTCATTTGTACAACACTGATTTGGCTAAAATATCACTAAATAATTATTAAAATCTATACTTATTCAAACATTTCGTTGTTTACTTCCATTTTTTACAAATATAAGGTTCTTTGCTTTCACCGCTTTTTGTTTTTGCTTGCTCATGCAAATCAGTTGATCGTTTGACACTTTTCATGAACTTACAGGAAAAGAAACTCTGGACTAAATCCTGTAACTTCTGTCTAGGAACAGTTGCTCAGTTACTCTCTCAAAAGTGTTCCCACTTACAGGTTTTATGTCAATAGGAACGACTTCCTGTAACTTCTGACTTAAGGCTCTGTTATGCATACTTGGCATTGCATGCACTGCTATACCATTTTTACGTAGAAATCAAAAACCAACAGTCTTTTACGTATGTAATGCTGTGCGTTGGGTAACCGCTTACACGCGAAGCTCATTTAACAGATTCCTTATGTGACAACTCTCAAGCAATGCCAAGTATGCATAACAGAGCCTTAAGTCCTGTAAACCGGACTGCTATTGGAACAGCCCATATGCTTTCAAATGCTCAACTTCAATCACATTTCGTTAAAACACGAGCAGTGATCGGGTAACAACAAACTGGTGCAGAGAGACGAGTTGATCCGCTACAGCATGACAGAGGAACACTTTTGTTAGTACTCCAATATACCTCACATAGACTACATGGTCCAACGATTTTTGCAGGGTAAAAGTTGTTTTACAATTTTTGACATCAAAAAGGCATAGTGAAAAAATTAGCTATAGCTTTTTCAAAGGTACCATTAGACTCATCTCACATTCTAGATTGTAATTCCTCCATGACTTTTAAAAATCTGACTTTTATCATTTTGAGCAAATAATACCAATTATAACTGATTTTTATTTTTTTAAGGCAAAAATAAAAGTTAAAATTTGCATTTTTTTTGAGCAGAAAATAATCGGTAATTGTTGCCTTTTATTTTTTCAGGCAAAAATAAAAGTCAATGTTACAAATAAAGTATTCCAGAGTAATGTATACTCAATTTAATTGTTTTAAAGCTCTTATCTGGATTCTAATAACTCACAAATACCAGGGTTAGATCAAATCTAAAAATATATGTACATCTTTTGTTAACGGCATCAGATCTGCACAGATCATTCGATTTTCAAAACTGAGGTTCCAAATTAAAGGGCTTGGCTTCTAAATGGAAAGGGTTGCTCTGTTTTAAAATTATAAAACCTGCACCGTTCGTTGTATTAGAAAAAGATTACGTTTCAAATGAGAAAGCTGCGTCTCTAGATATGCAAGAAGGTTTCATTATTTTGAAAAGGGGTTGCCACCTGCTTAAAAAATCATAAGACTTACACCGTTCGCGCAATTAAAAAAAAAATTATATAATATGCCATATAAAGGGCTTGGTCTATAGATCTGCAAGGAAGAACCTCTAATTTTTTAAAAAGGGTTGCCACCTGTTACACCTTTTTTTCGTGGAGAGCATCAGATTTACACCGTTCTCCTGAGTTTCAAAATGAGGTGTCAAATTATGGGTATACACCTATAGACGTGATTTGGTTTTTTTAAAGGGCCGCCGCCTAATTAAAAATGCATTGTTTAAAATATGATAGTAAAATATCACAATATGGGTTTGAGATTAAATTAATGGGTGTAATCACTGAACTCGTGTCAATCGAAAAATTTGTCGATATTGATCGCCAAATATTACCTTGAAATCATTGAACTCGTATCGAAAATCAATTTCTCGATGAAGTTGAACTCATTTGCCGACTCGATAAAATACTTTCCGTGGCTCATAGATGGCGTTGATTGCAAAATCATTGAAACCGTAAAATCGAAAATATTTTTCGATATCTATCCGTTGATGAGTTCGTTACGGAAATTTAAAGAAATGGAAACTTTGTAAGGATTTATGTAAACAATTGATGAGGACGCACTAAATTGTGTTTCCATGCATATTTTAGAGACAAGAGACAAAAATACACAAACAAAAATCAATTTGAAGTACTTGTGAACGCGATGAAGTTGCACCCTGACATAGCTAAAGGATTTTCCCAAAGAGCACCAGCCGAACTAAATACTTTTTGGAAAGATACTTCACAGAAACTAAATGCACTGGGCCCGCCAATCAAGTACAAAACTGGATGGAAGAAGGTATGAAAAATCAAGACATATCTACATATATTTATTAAAGTATTTTTTTTAATAGGTTTGGACTGATTTTAAGTTTGGAATCAAAAAGAAAATGTTAAAAAATGCAAAGCAAATTTCCGGAACAGGAGGTGGGCCCTTCAGCCAAATAACTTTAAGTCCACTCGAAGAGGAGGTCAGTGTAATACTTTCGCTCAATACATCAGTTGAGGGGTTGAAAGGCATTCGAAGTTTTGGATGCTCGCCAGTGAGGACAACAGTAAATACTCCCGATGAGAACCATGCAACAAGTACCCTTAATAAGAGACTCAAAATGAATCTTCATCAGATATAACGCCTGATTGTGTATTTCAAGTAGACCAGGCAATGCAACCCAATGTAAATACCGACGTTTCCTGTATACCACACAAGAAGCACAAAACAAACAAGGTGGGTCTACTTGAGGAGCAAATATCAATCCAAAAAAAGATGGAGGAAAATGTGTCAAAAGTACTAGACACGCTTGTTAAGCAACAAAGTGAACAAGTCCAAGGACAGTCCGAAACGAATAGGTGGCTTAGGAAACTCCATGAAAATGAAAAAGATAAAATCAAGGAAATGAGGCGACATAAAGCAGTTATGGAAAAAATAGCCATAGATAAACTAGAAATTAAAAAGAAAATTTTGGAATTTGAACTACAGCACTTAAACAAGCCTTAAATTTTCCATTTTTGTTCTGAATATTATTGTTTAATTAATTGTTTAGTTTTGTTGTTTTTACATAAATTGTTTTGACATATGTACATATGTACTTATATTAAAATAAATCTAAAAAACTATCTATTATTCTATTTGTTTCTTCGGTAGAGGTGTCAAACTATCGATGGAATTATCGATAGTATCGATAGTTTTATTTTTTGACCTATCGATGAGTAGTTAAACTATCAATAGTAGTAGTTGACTATCGATAGTTTAAAACCTCTAGCACAGCCGATTTTATTTATAATGTCTCCATGTAGCTGCGCGTCAGTTTTTTAAGTTTGTAAATTTTTTATTATAAGTGATACTTTCTATGTGATTCCTCCTTTAATGGCCGTTTCCTCAAGGAACCTTTAATTGAAAAGCTCCCTTTATATTTAAATGTTGCTTCAAACCATACGGCTATTTCTGAAGTAAAGCATTTCTATTATCGGTGTTTGACGTTTGTATGTTTCTTGACTGTAAACAAATCAAAAAATTATATTACAAAATTTAAACAAAATAAATCATATTTGAAAATTTATAAGCAATAATTAAACAAGGCAAAAGTGATTTTGTTGCGGCAAATGATAAAGCTGTTTTTGAGAGACTTTTTTATTCTGATTACGAGTCCGTAAGCATAAAGTTTCCATCAGCTTCAGATTTTGAGAAAAACGAAGTCAAAGTGTCAAAACATCGCGTTTTTTGCAATATTTTAGAAAGTCTAGCACAAAAAGCAAAAGGTGATAGAACCTTTAACTGGAGCTTAAATTAAAGCTATAACTCTCGTTATCCCTGCACCTTGACCTGATGGTCACTAAAAGTCATTTATTGAACAATATAAAAATACTGGAATAAATACTGTGCTATTGAAAAAAATAAATAAGTATTGCCAAAATCAGTTTTTGCTGTTAAATAAATAACTATAAATGACCTTAGGGATAAGGTTCTGGGATGGTATTTTAAGCGATTGTAGTCGAAAGTTCAAGCCTTAATTTCAGCCCACGTGGAAGGCTCTATCCCGTTTTGTTTAATTGCGGTGGGTAAATACTCAAACTTCGCACAAAATCAGGTTTTTCTGTTCAATAAATGACTATAATCAGGTCAAGGTGTAGGGATGATATTTTCAGGGATAGTAGTCGAGACTTCTAGCTTTAATTTAAGCCTAATACCGCCTTTTGTTTCTTGCTAGAGCTTCTAGAATGTTGCAACAAAAAAACGATTTTTTGACATTTTGACCTCGTTTTTCACAAAATCTGGAGATGATGGAAACCTTATGCTCATGGATTCGTAATCCGCACTGGCGAGTTAATCAAAAACAGCTGTAACTTTTGCCGCAACAAATTTTTTCCCATTTTTGTTGCCATGTGTTATAGATCATAAGAAGAAGCTTTCTTTACTAGGCTCATAATTTTGTTTTTAATTGTAAGCTTCAGTAATAGATATGTAAATAGATATATAAAATTCGATAATAAAATGCTTTACTTAGACAGAACTATACATGTTAAAGCAATATTTAAACATAAAGTGAATTTTAAAGTTAAAAGTAACTTAAGAAAACGTTTGTTTTTTTTGTTTTTCGATGCCGTCCGTGTTAATTTGGAACAGTTTTTAACATTACATTGACTATCGATAGTACTATCGATGGTAGCGTGTGACACTATCGATAGTATTGCTGGAAACTATCAACGAGTAATGATAGTTTTTTTCTGAAACATGGAAACTATCGATGGTGGCACTATCGATAGTTTTACAACTCTATTCTTCGGTTGGCACATCATCGAAATCATTGTCATCTTCATTGGTAGATATGTGAATTATCACTTGTATCCAGGTATGACTCAGGAATGTTTTCATTTGAATTATAATGCAAACGGATATTATGCAATGCACAGCACAAATTAACAATACGTGCTGCTTTATCTGGAGCGTAATGTAATCCTCGTTCACTGCAAAGGCAACGAAATACTGATTTTAATAAACCTATTGTCTTCTCAACAACTATACGGCCTTTAGCATGATAAGTGTTGAATCTTTTTGGTCGCATGTGATTGGTTCCCTATACGGAGTCATGAGCCACGGTTGAAGAGGGTATCCTATGTCACCTTTGCAAAAAATGTGGTTAATAAGTACATTCTTATAAGGTGGTACTTTTTAACAATGGATTATTCTGGCCTAGTATTATATTTGCATTTCCTCTCCCTCCTCTCATCTCATCTCTCTAAATAAATCACTCACTGAATAGGTAATTTTGTAAAAGCCTTACTATCATAACGTTGAGACTTGAGAATCCTTTGCGGTTATAATAAAAATGTTTATCTCTTGCCGGAGCCATTATTATACCTTTCATGAGCATGAAATGGTATTATAACTTTGGTCCGATGTTTGTAAGTACCAGAATAAGAAGAGATAGACCCATTAAAATGTATACTTAAATGCTCAGCACGTCGAGCTGAGTCGATTTAGCCATGTCCGTCTGTCCGTCTGTCTGTCTGTCCGTCTGTTTGTATGCAATCTAGTCTCTCAGTTTTCGAGATATCCGGATGAAATTTGGTAGGTGGGTGTATTTTTATAATTTATTAATCATTTGTCGGAACCGGAAGAATCGGACCACTATAACATGTAGCTCCCATACAACTGATTGTTCAGATATGAATTTTTTCGTTATAACTTCTCCATTTATGCACATAAGAACATGAAATTTCGCAATACTTCCAACGATTATCAACAGAATTCTTACAGTGAAAATACCAAATATCAGGTCACTTTTACATATAGCTCCCATACAACTGATTGTTCAGATATGAATTTTTTCGTTATAACTTCTCCATTTATGCACATAAGAACATGAAATTTCGCAATACTTCCAACGATTATCAACAGAATTCTTACAGTGAAAATACCAAATATCAGGTCACTTTTACATATAGCTCCCATACAACTGATTGTTCAGATATGAGATTCTTGGTTATAACTTCTAAATATATGCAGCTAGAAACATGATATTTCGCACTATTTTCATTCGATGTCAACAGAAAGTTTACAGCAAAATTAGCAAAGATCGGGTCACTATAACCTGTTCATTGCCCGCATACAACTGATTGTTCAGATATGGGGTTTTACTGTAAAACTCCTTTATTTGGACAGCTAAAACCGATATTGTATAAATAATAATACAAAGTCTACTGAGAAAATTGTCAAAATCTATGCTTATAATAATAAGCCTTATCTCGTATACCATTGATTGCTCCTATTCCAGTTTTTGCGATATATCTCCTTTATGTAGGAAGCTAAACCCATTAAATTGTGTTTCCGGTTTACATACCGATCACACAGCAGTGAAAATCACTTTGATTGGTGCTATATAAGGTATATCTTCCATACCTCTGATTGTTTAGATAAGATTTTTTCTATCTATGTGTGCTGTGAATATATACATTTTTTCAAATTCAGTAATCTGTTAAAGTAAAGTTTTCAGATGTTCATGAAAGGTATGAAGCCTTCGGCATAGCCGAAGACAGCGCTGCTCTTACTTGTTTTTACATGAGTTCCATCAACTGCCATTGTGACACCAGGAATTTTTGATTTGTTAAAAAAATATGTCTTTGCTTCCAATTCTGCGCTTGCAGTCATGGCAATGGAAATCCACCTTGAGCAAAGCCTGTACTCAAGGAAATTGAGTAATTTATCCAATATTCCACAGAATGTCGATTGGGCCACGTTTATATTGAAGTCCTTTCCAACACAATGCTGATAGCTGCCTGTGGCTAAGAATCGTAAGCATGCAGCAAGTTTTATTTAGGGAGAAAGAAACCCTTGTCTTTTGCAATTTCCAAATTGATTTTCGCATACCCCTAAAATATACATAACTGCTCTTTTGTTGATGCGAAAATTTTTGATGAAACTGCAAATAAGTAAGTATGTAAATGAAGTTTTGATGTTGTTTAGCTTAAATATTTCGACTCGCTTATAGTTATCCATTTGCAACACGTCTGTTGAACTATTCCTCAAATATCTGCGCTCACGACGAATGTTTACACAATCTTCATCTTCACTATCTCTTAAAAACAAAGCGATTGTATCCATTTTAAATTATTTCATAAACATTGTTTATTTATATTTGGCCGTTAATTGAAAATTCTGTTGATATTTTTTTGAGCTCAAGGCCGGGTTGAAATAAAACAATCTGTTTTCGTTGTTTTTAAATCGTCTATATTTCGACTTTAGTCAGACTGAAGTCGAAATATAGACGATTTAAAAACAACAAAATTTCAACCCGGCCTTGAGCTCAAAAAAATATCAACATTATTTCATAAAGAAAACAAAAAAAAACTGAAGCAAACAATTTCATTTGACAAATTTTTCGACACAACAGTTTTACTTTGTGGGTAAAGCAGCTTATCGACGGTATCAATAATCCCATGCAATTTTTCGATCGAGAATTCTTTCCGTACCGATATCAATGTCGATGCGGAATGGATGATTAGACCCAATATGTTGGTGTTTTTAATAGAGTTGCTACTTATTAAACACATTTATAACTATGAATGGCAAGTAATGTTTTAAGGGCATTCGATATTGCTATCAATCGAAAGCTAGTTATGAGTTGTTAACTAGATGACAACTCTCGAAAATTTGCATACATTTATATAAAGGCCATTTAACTAGCTGTCGTGTGATACCAATCACGAATGTCCTTAATACGTTACTTACCGTTCACAGCTATATATTTCTTAATAGGTGGCAGCTCTTAAAAGCACGAACATATTAATAATAATAATAATAGATTGGCGCTTACACCTAGGTTAGTGTTTGGCCGAGCTTATCCTCCGATTTGTGGCGCGCGCCTAGATGTTGTCACACAGAGCGGAGGGACCTACAGTTTTACGCCGACTCCGAACGGCGATTGTATTTTTATGAGAAGCTGTTTTTCATGGCAGAAATACACTCGGAGGTT